CAACCAGCAAAGCAGATTCAGAATGATGAAATAGGAACTGATGCTAAACAAACAAGCTTTAGCACTGTTCCAACTCCAGTTTTGGAATCTGAAAATAAAACAATATTGGCCTTAGCAAAAGATGAAGAGAAGCACTTTCTACCAGAGACTATTATTTCTTCTAAATCAGAATCTGTTACACCACCTTCTTCTTCAGAAGATAAAACTTCCTTAAAACAACTGGAAATTGTGGAGAAGGGTTCAGGCATGTCTCAGAAACAAATTGAAAACACTGCTTCAGCTCCTTTATCAGTGTCAAAAAGTGAGAACATATCACCTGTTCCAAAAGCAGTGACAGCATTAGGCACAGATGATGAAATTCAGGAACAACCTGTTGTTCAACTTGTTGAAGATGCTCTAATACCTCGGAATGTTGGAGACACAATAGACCAACCTGTAGCTGATATCAGAACAGGCCAGTCTCCCAGAGATCCTTCTGATACCCTCATTACTGATCCTGTGGAAAATACCAAAGTACAACCTGTCAGAATTGCTAGGCTCCCTTTTCGTCCACCATTCCCACCACATAATGAAACTCAGCCAGTTAGGGTGCCAGTACGTTCTGCACAAAGTTTCAGGCAATCAGTCAGAAAGCCACCTCGACAACGTCCACCTCCTACAGGATTTTTCCAGTTTCAGCGTCCTCCTCCATCATCTGCTCCTGCAACCCCTGCTAGACCACTTCAACTCCTTTCTACATTATCTGTTCAAGCATCACCACCGCAAACACCTGTTCAGCCACCTCCACTGCGGTCACCTATTCAGCCATCACCACCACCACGATCACCAGTTCAGCCACAATTACCTATCCGACCTGGTATTGCACCACCTACCCCCTTGTCTCCTCAACCAAAACAACCTGCTCTTCAGTCAGATCCTAGACTATCTACACAATCAACATCTCGTCCACTAATTACTAGACCATCGGCACAAACACAGCCCTTGGTAACTAATATTGAGAACAAAAGTGATGCCCCATCACAGGGTGTCTTGCCCCAGTTCAATCCAGCTAGTGGTCTTCAATTTACTCTCATTAAGCCCTCGGAAATATCAGACGAAAATAACAATAATCGAGACATCCCTCCACGACTTAATCAAGAAATTGGCTCAACTTTTGCAGGGGAGATTAAAACAAGTATCAACAGGTCTACAACTGTACAGAGTGTGTTGGAAGATATTGTGCAGATATCTAAACCAGATCCTTTCAGAATAATATCTGGGCCATCCCTTTCTAACCAATCTTCAAGTAACAGTCAACCACCACTGGAAGCTTTGCCATTATCAGTTCCTGAAGAGCAAGTTTTCTTGCCAGCTATAACAGTTGTATCATCAGTGAATTTCAATAAGCAACCCCCCAGTATCCTAAGTGGTCAAAATCTTTCAGAAAAGAAAGTAGAAAGTGATGTGAAAACTACAGATATTAATGAAGAAACAACCAAAATGACACTGCCTATAATGAACATATTTGACATTGTTCCCATCACCAACTCACCTGTAGAAACAACCAAAATGTCTGAAGTTACTTCTTTACCATTCTCAATTAGCACAGCAATACCAGTGTTAAATACAACTACTGTTATACCAGAAGTCATCACAGAGGTACAGGCTTCATCCACAACAGAGATGTCATCCACCCATACTGTTACTGAAAGTAATTCCAAACCTGAAGAAGGTGGGGTTGTTCCCAATAAACATAGTAACAGTAATATAACAAACATACTAGCTGGTGGATTTCAGCTAACATCCTCTGATGATGTAACAGAAATGCAGAAAGTAGAGAATTCTAGCAAAAAAGAAGTGTTGTCATTGGCAGGTCCTGGTCCTATGAAGCCAATCCCACTGGACTCTCCACAGCAATCAGCTGTTGATGAGGAAAAGACACTAAAACCAGGAAGTGTTCCAGTACAGCCTATTCAAATCCCTGAGGTGGATGACTTGGAGGATGATCTTGATGCTGTAGTATCATACGTAGCATTACTGCACAGAGCAGTACCTCCTTTAAATCGGAAACCAACAATACAACCTAGTAAAGTAAATACAGAGAAGGAACAAGAGCTTCCTAAACCAACTATTCCTCAGCTTCCAGTCCATATAAGGCCTATTCCATCTGGGGCATTTATTCCAGGAATAGGTTTAGCCAAGAGACCAGGTGCTGTGCCAATCCGAATAAATAATCTGAGTAATCTTCCACCAGATGCTATTTTAGTTAGGAGACCAGGACCACCACCCCCAACACTGCTAGCAAGACCAGGACCACCACCAACACTGCTAGCAAGACCAGGACCACCAACACAGCAAACAAGACCAGGTCCACCACCACCAATACAAACAAATGTTCGTCCACTATCAAATGGACAGTTTAGGCCTGGAATAATCTTTACACTTGATGAGGCAGGAAAACCTCACTTCTCACCACTACCTCCAAGACCACAGCATTTGCCGCCTCAACCAGCTATACCAGAGACTCAACCTCAGAGCCAAGCACTGCCAGAAAGAGAAAAGATTTCCTCTGGTCAAAAGCCTGATGATACTTCACTAAGACAGCCAGCTGTTGACCAGCCACCCTCCAGTGTTGAGACCCAGACTTTTGTCAGACCTACACAATCCCAAGAATACCTAAACTCTGAAGTTCCAGAGGTGAATGATAACTCACAAGCATCATTAACAACTCTAGAAATAACAGAACCCAAGTCAACGTCACCACAACCATCAGAACTATTTTCTCCTGCAAGACCTACATCACCTCCAACCATCCAAAGGCCTGAAATACTGCCACTACACTACTATCCAATTCCACTGAAACCTGAAACACTACCTCCACCTGTAAAGCCGGCTTCTGAGAGCCCTAAAACAAAGCCAGTAATACTTATTCCAACTATACAAAAAACTGAAATTGATCCAAGGCCACAAAGCCTTGAAATCAGACCACCACCACAAAGCGCTATTCTTCAAAGGCCTGGGTCCCAACTGCTGCAACGGCCATCCCCACAAAGACCTGAAGTGCTACTACCTTTTCAACCTACTTCACAAACATCTGTGGCACAACCATTACGTCCATTCCCACAGAGGCCGGAGTCACAACCACCATCTCCAGCTGCACAAACAATTGAATCACAATTGCCTCAAGGCCCTATCCAGCTAAGGCCTGAATCACAACCACAAAGACCTGAAACAAAACTACCACAACAATTGATTCTACAAAGACCACCTCCACAAAGGCCAGGAGACTTGCCTTCAATTCAAAGACCACCCCTAAAACGACCTCAGACACTGCAGAGACCAGAAGTGCTACCAGCAGGCATGCTGCCCCCACCAAGACCTTTTCCAGGGGCTCACCCAAGACCTGAAACTCCGCAACGCACACAACCACCCACTTTGAGGCCACAGCTCCTTCCAAGGCCTCCCACAGGACCATTTTTCCGACCTGGTGTACCTCCAGAAAGTCCTTTACGTAGACCTGTTGTTTCTAAGCCACAATTCCAGCCATCTCGGCCTACCGTTCCATTTTCACAAGGTAAACCAAGCCTACAGGAACCATTAAAGCCTCAGTCAGGAACAGATGATTTCAAACCACTCACTCCATCACCTGAAATCCCCCCTGCAACAGAAAATCAACAACTCCAATCAAACCAGTTCATTCGTGGAGATGATCAGAAACTGATTGACAACATTCTTGGCTCTCTCCCGGATTTTTTGAAGGGATCAGTTAAAATAGACCACACAAATTTAGGTGCAGAAAATGCTGTATCGGTTAGCAACAGCTATGGGAATGTAATTTACCAAAAAAGAGGCATTACTTACATAGACCAAGTACAGTAGTATTTCAGATTATTATCAATATAATGAGATTCTGCTGTTGAGTGATATGATTCTTTGTTATCAAGTGGAGATATGTGCATTACTAACATTTTTGTCACTGAAGAAAGTACAAAACATTTAGTGTCACATTGTGTATGACTTGTATATACTGTTAACCATATATTTTTCTATTTCCTAAATCAAAGGATGTGGCATAAGTTCAAAATTTATAAATGTAAATGAATTTAATGATATATTCATAATAAATTTCACATATCAAATAATTTTTTTTAAACAATTGTTAACCCTTTACCAGGCACACATTTTAAATACCTCATATATATACATGTATTTAAGTGATCATATATGGTTATTTGCCCAATAAAGGGTTAAAGAGCACTTCAAATTCCAGTTGCAGGAAAGTTATAAATACTAATATTATCACACAATTTTAGTAAGTTCAGTAAAATATTAAATATCAATATTCACCAAGTAATAATTTATGTAGATCATATAATACAGTATTCCATACTTCACCATCCTACAAAGCAGTTATGAAAAGAAAACAATAATATGAATACATACCTTGTAATAGTATAGTAAATATACAAAGAACCAGGGATAATTTAAGTAATTCCTAGCACTTGAAATATTATTGGATTACTAACTTAAGTGTATATTTAATAACTTTATAATGTAAAATAAAACTTGCAATTGTTGTGCAAAATTATTATATTGAAACTAATGTTTTCTAATGTATAAATTAACCATTCTTCAAAATTCAGTAGTGAAGGATGCAATAAAAATATGATGTAGTACTTCAAAACACACTATATTTCAAGGCTATTCATATACTAATACATCAGGACATAAATGGACATATCTGAAATATAGCAAGATTTGTGTTGGCAGTGATTTCACAGCTGTTCTAAGGACCTTAGGCATGGTGAAATTGTTATAGATCTAACCAGAAAATCATGAAATGTACATAAAAGGTTTATCTATTTACTATCATATAAATTATAAATGTACCCTGAACTCTAAAATTAGCCTGGTATTTAAGTGTAAGCCTTAAAATGTCCTCTTTCTAGCTCTCATGTTCAGGTATATAAAAGACAGTATAAGAGTCAACATGCAACATGTAACATTCCAATTTCCTTTCA